GCCCGGCTATTTTTTTGGTTGCAGCCGTCGTTGTTTGGCGGGTCCGGGCTAGGGATTCAAACCTACCACCTTAGGTGTACGTGGCTGGCGCCCTAGCCGGTTGAGCTATAGGCGCCGAGCCGAGGTTAGGACTTTAATATAAGAACGGGGAGGCACAGTTAAACCTGTAACACTTAACCTTCCTTACCTGTAAATGGGAATCATAATAGAAAACTCATATAATTGTAGTGGTTGTGAAAGTGTCTCAAAGAGGCTTGGTCCACAGAAACTCAGTGGACACCTGAGTTTGATGAGGAGCTCTCTGGATCAGACTGCTAGTGAGCAGCTTAGGTGGGGTACTCAATCCTGTGTCTGTCTACCACATATAAACAGGTGCTTGTTCAACGCATTGTTATGATGGTAAAGATGAAAGGCTAGAGAGAAAAGTCTGATGATAGATGAACCAGGGCTATAAAAAGTCTGATTTCAAGTGCTGATGAGGATGTGGAACCCAAGGAGTCCCTTACACTGCTGTCTGGAGCATACATTGATACAAATACCTTGGAGAGCAATTTGGCAATATACCAAAAGGCAAAGATATATATCTGATATCCCAGCAATTCTGCTCTTAGGTATACACTAAGAGCATATATAACAGAGAAGCTTACACAGGTGGCCCAGGAGAAATGTGCAAAAATATTTATAGATGCATTATTTGTAAGAGCAAAAACTAAAAAATAATCTAAGTTTCCTAAGTGTAATACACTTATATATTTGAATATCATATTACACAGCAATTAAAGTGAATTAACTAGAGTTATGCATAGCTCATGGATGAATCTCACTAATAAATACTGAGCAAAAAGGAGCAAATTGCAGAATATATACAGTGGATGAGGCAAAAACATATTGCTTAGGACACATATACATGTATATGGATAAAGAGTATAAAGAATATGGTCATGTGGGCGGCACCTGTGGCTCTGGGAGTAGGGCTCCATATACTGAGGGTGGTGGGTTCAAACCCAGCCCTGGCCATACTACAACAAAAAATGGCCAGGCGTTGTGGTGGGCACCTGTAGTCCCAGCTACTCGGGAGGCTGAGACAAGAGAATCACCTAAGCCCAAGAGCTGGAGGTTGCTGTCAACTGTGACGCTACAGCACTCTACCAAGGTGACAAAGTAAGACTCTGTCTCTAAAAAAAAAAAAAAAAGAATATGGTCATGACAAATACCAAATTCAAGCGGGATAAGGGGAGGAACATAGGAAGCTTTGATCATATTGGTATAATAGCTTATTTTCTAAACTATGTAGTATATGAAAAGTAATGTGGCCAGGTGTGATGGCTTGTGCCTGTAATCCCAGCACTTTGGCAGGATGAGGGGGTGGATGACTTGAGTCCAGGAGTTTGTGACCAGCCTTAGCAACGCAGTAAGACCCTCTATCTATACAAAAAGAAAAGTTAGCCAGTGTGGTGGTGGGTGCCAGTAATCCCAACTACCCAGGAGGCTGAGGCAGGAGGATGGCTTGAGCCCAGGGATTCAAGGGGAACAGTGAGCTATGTTCCCATTGCAGTTTAGTCCAGGTAACAGAGTAAGACCCTGTCTCAAAAAAAAAAAAAAAAAGTTACATTATTCCTTATAACTTCTGCATGTTTGAAACACAAAAATTTTTAAAAAGAGGCAGGACTTGAGAGACTCACATAAAGGATACTGACAACATGAGGCCCTACTTGTGGGGAGATTTAGGACTGTTCTCGCCACTCCCTGAAGCCAGCAGGCAGGGTAAATTAGCTTAAGACTCTGGAATCTGACTACACTGAAAGGGAGAGACTCAGAAAGCTGAAGCTGCTTGCCATTCCAGAGGAGAGGAGGTACAGGCATTTTCCCCTCTATGTTGTGAACCCAGTTATTGGCCTGCACTCCAGCCCTGGACTGCAGAGAACGCCAGTGGAGGAGACAGCTGGGCATCTCTGGGGTGCAGAGCAGGGGGGACCACACGCACAGGGCTGTGCCGCCAGCATCCCACACGCACAGCATGCAGGCTGCCGCCCCCGCACATTGCACGCACTTCCTCGCCAGCAACTTGGCACCCTGCCCTGACAGTTTACAGCATTGTCACTCACAGGCGCGGGCGCACACACGCCCCTTCCCTGGTGCGCTCTGACCAGGACCCCAGAACTGAAGCTACGACTGAGCCTGGCCTCTGCAGGCTCTGCCAGCCCTCCCTCCCCTCTAGGGGTTGGGTTTTTCCAGTTGGAGCCTCACTCTCTACAGCAACCTTGGGAAATTGGCGCCTGAGGAGGCTGTTCCTACACGTTATTTATTTCCTCTTTTCCTCTCACTGAGACCCGCCGGTCAGGACAGCTGCAGCCCAGGACTAGAGACTGGCTGGAAGCAGCAGAGGGGGCGCAAGGGAGGCCCCTTCAAAAGCCCCCAGCCTGCTCATCACTGTAGGGGCCATGAGCACCAGGCAGGAGGCCAGGAGAGATGAGGGAGACACCAGGAGGGGACAGGAGGCAGAGCTTCGGGATGGAGCCCACCTGAGCCAGCAGCGCCGGCTCAAACAGGCCACCCAGTTCCTGCACAAGGATTCGGCTGACTTGCTCCCGCTGGACAGCCTCAAGAGGCTCGGCACCTCCAAGGACTTGGTAAGGCAGCCCTCTCTCCTGCCCAAAGTCCCTTGCCTTTTCCCTCCATTCCCAGATCTCAAGGCCAGGGTGGGACCCACATAGTGTGCACCCTCAGGCTTCGGATGCCCCCTCCCTTGCTAAAATGGGGAGAGATGGTCCTGCCAACTTGAGGGGCTTCACCATGGCCACTCTCAGGCTCTTCACTGGGTTCACTGGGGATGTTCCCATGCTGTGGTAGCTGAGGGACCCTATTCTCCTGGCTCAGCTTCCCCTACCTTTTCCTGATAGCCCCAGGCTTAGGGCAGGTGAGGAGCTATGCTGGGAGTAGAGGCTTACAGGGACCAGGGACCCTCTGGGGCAGTCGGTTAAGGCAGGGAGGGCCTGGAGAACCTGACAGTTCAGGTTGTAAATTTCCTGCTCTGGGTGACTACTTCCTCATTCCAGGTCCGTTAATCCATTTATTTGCCTTTTCCCCTCAGAGTCAGATCATTGAGGGTCTCCATTCTTTTCAGAGCATCAAGGTTTCACACAGCTCTCCCCCTATATCCTTGAATGTGCCTGCCTTCCCTCCTAGGTGGAGTGGCACTTTCAGGCTCCTTTCCCTCCCTCAGCAGCTCTGCCTCCAGAAGGAATGGGGTAAGGGAGTAACCAAGAGCTGGGTGGGTCAGGGGCACAACACACCTGCCTTCACCCTCTCTGACAGGCAGTGGCTAAGAGCTGGGCCTTTGGAGACACTTTGCTTGGGATCAGATCTTGGCTTGGTAACTTGGGCAAGTTACTTCATGTCTCTGCCTCAGTTTCTCCATCTGTTAAATGAGGATAAAATTAATAGTATCTATCTTGCAGGGTTGTGGGGAAAGCTGACATGAGCTAATATATATGAAATACTTACAACACAGGGCCTAGGTAACAGAAAGCACTAATACCATTGTTATTCCTCCAGCTGGTATTCCAGTTAGCCTGAGAGATGAAGTAAGCTCTGCAGGATCCAGAAAATATGGAATTACATGTAGCCTCTTACCCTGAGAAGAGAGGAAGGCCTTTGTAGAAGGGCTTGGGAACACTCTGGTCCCTTGCTCCTCTCCTAGTTGAGGGTCTAAGAGCTACTTGGCAGGGCCTGCACCCTGAAGCCATCCCAGCAGCTGCTTCTCCCTGAGAACCTGGAGGCCAACCCAGGCCCACCGCCTCTCCAGACAGGGCTTCCCCTCCAGGAACCCAGCTCAGAGGCAGGGCAATCCTATAGCCACACCCCAGCATCCCCTAAAGGGGAAAAGTGATAGGCTTATTCCTCCTTTCTGACACAGCAAGCACAGCTGAAAAACAAGAATGGAACAGGGAATCAGCATCTTAGGCTCCAGGGGCTAGAGCCCTGTAGCCTCTACCTCTGCTGAGGACAGAGGAAGGTGCACTGTGAACATTGCCATCCCAGGGTGGCAGGCCCAGTCCTCTGATACGAGACCTGGGCTTCCTACCTCTCCCTTCTGCCTCAGGATCCTCCAAATGAATCTCTAGCAGTTACCGTGGCTTTGGGAACACAGATACAACAGTTAGGGAGACCCTATTCTCTCCCTTCTCACGATAGCTTGGAGCAAACTGCAGAACAGTGGAGGAGGCCTGAAGCCTGTATCCACCGTGGGAAAGCTGGAGGTGGGAACTGAAGAGCCCTGCTTTCAGGCCACTCCCAGAGCTCTGCACTTTTCTTAGTACTGGGTCTCCTGCTGGCAGCTTTGCTGCAGGAGCAACCTCAAGGGCCTCATTAGGCCAAGGGTATAAAAACAATCCAGACTCTTAGGGAGGAGGGGCAGGTGGAGGAGTAAGTAGAGCCTGGGAGGGTACAGTCCTTTCATAGCATTTATTGAGGGCCTACGATATAGGCCCTCATGAGCCTATACATACAAAGATGAGTGAGATACAGACCTAACCTTAGGGGCTCTTTGGGCTAATGGGGGAGTGTAATCTACAATAATATTGTGAGAGGCCAGTGGTAGCTCACCCTGTAATCCTAACATTATGGAAGGCCAAGGCAGGAGAATTGCTTGAGGCCAGGAGTTCAAGATGGTGAAAGTATCAAGAGCCCCAACTCTACAAAAAATAAAAAGAATTAGCTAGGAATGGTGGTACAACAGTAGTCTTAGCTACTTGGGAGCCTGAGGCAGGGGGAACGCTTGAGCTCAGGAGTCCAAGAATGCAGTAACTATGATGGTGCCACTGCCCTACGGCATCAGAATGTTTTCTTTTCTTTTTTTTTTTTTTGAGACAAAGTGTCAAGCTGTTGCCCTAGGTAGAATGTCATGGATTCAAAGCTCACAGCAACCTCCTACTCAGGCTCAAGCAATCCTCTTGCCTCAGTTTTTCTATTTTTAGTAGAGATTGGGGGGGTCTCAATTTTGCTCAGGCTGGTCTCAAACTTGTTGAGATCAAGCTATCCACCTGCCTCAGCCTCCCAGAGTGCTAGGATTACAGGTCTGAGCCACTACACCTGGCCAAGACCTTCTTTCTTTTTTTTGTATTTTTGGCTGGGGCTGGGTTTGAACCTGCCACCTCTGGTATGTGGGGCCAGCACCCTACTTCTTTGAGCTACAGGTGCCGCCCAAGACCCTGTTTCTAATACCAAAAACAAAACAAAACATTGGTGAGAAGCATGGCCAAGGGAAGTACTAGAAGAGACCCCAGTGTGGTATGTATGGAGGGAGATCCTGAAGAGGTAAACCCTGCAGGAATTACAGGATATACACCGAATCACAAATTTAAAATTAAAATCTCCCCCAAATAAAGTGTGCTAAGCTAGCCATACAGCTGGCCTACAAAAGAGTGAGGAAGAAGAGTTACAGAAAAAAGGATACCAGGGTGAAGGCACGTAGGCAAAATCAGCCTGGTAGTAGTTACTGGGGCCAATGAGTGGACTAGGGGACAAGATGCAGTGGCCAGGTTGTCAGGGCTGTGAGACACCTTCAAGTTTGGGCTCTATTATGTAAGGAGAGGGGACCTTTATATGTTTTAAACAGGGGAGTAACAGTTTAGTTTTGTTTTACTTTGGTGCTTCTTGAACTGTAATGTGCATACAAATTACGTGGGGAGCTTGTCCGAATGAAACTTCTAATTCAGTAGGTCTAAGATTCTGCACTTTTTTTTTTTTTGAGACAGAGGCTCAAGCTGTCCCCCTGGCTAGAGTGCTGTGGCATCACAGCTCACAACCACCTCCAACTCCTGGGCTCGAGCGAGTCTCCTGCCTTCACCTCCCAAGTAGCTGGGACCACAGGCGCCCACCACAATGCCCAGCTATTTTTTGGTTGCAGCCATCATTGTTGTTTGGCAGGCCCAGGCTGGATCCGAACCCACCACCTTAGGTGTATGTGGCTGGCGCCTTAGCCACGTGAGCCATAGGTGCCAAGCCAGATTCTGCACTTTTAACAGGCTTCTAAATGATGTTAAAGCTGCTCATATGAGGACCACCCTTTTGGGTAGAAAAAGTTTTAGATAAGTCAGTCTGAGGTTTCCCAAAGGTGTATTTGAAAGGCAACAAGCCTGGAGGCAGGTTCTTATGAATTTAGGAGGGTGCTCCAGTGACATAGGGAGGCTAGATACAGGCAGTGACAGAAAGAGGGATGGACTCTACAGGAGGCAAAAAATTGGGGAAGTGACTGAACAAGGTGGGGATGGTTGAGGATGAAGGAGAGATCAAGGATGACGCCCTAGCTCTGAAGACTTATTACATCTTTTCATCAGTCAACCCTGAAATCCACAGTATGTGGGGATTAGGGGAGAGGGGAATCCCATAACTCTTAGTCAAGAAAAAAAGTCATAGGTTTGAGACAATATTTTCCCCAACTATAATACTAGTTTTTGAGATATCCATTTAGTCAATACTAGTTTCTGAGATATCCATTTAGTCAATAGGTCAGTCTAACTTAGAATGGGTGGTTTTCTTTCCGTTCCTTTACTGCTGGGCAATCTATTTGGGTCCCAGAAAAATGGCATGTTTGAAATTGGGACTCAGTGTTTTAATTATCTGCTGGGGTACTTGAATGAGCTTCTGCTTCTTTTTCACTGAGGTTCAGGTCTGGGATGCGGCTGGGAGGGGAGGGAAGGTATCATGGGATAGCTAAGTGAGGGGGTAGCTGAGTAGACTGGACTCTTAGGTTTAGACCTGCCTGCCTTTTTTTTTTTTTTTTTTTGGTGATTGAGCCAGCAGCCACACAGCGTGATCCAGAGACGCTTTGTGGAGGGAAACCAGAGTCGGCTTCAGGGAGAGTCTCCTCTGGTGCAGGCCCTGGTTCATGGCCAGGAGATCAGGAGAACCAGCAGGACAGAGATTCCAGCTCTTCTGGTCAACTGCAAGGTGAGAGGCTTCCTAGGGCAGCAACTTTCATTAACAACCTGCCTGCAGCTGGATCACTCCATTGGCTCTCTTTTCTGTCCTGACTGGTGAGGGAGGGAGACAAGGCACCTTTCCCCATAGCCTGGACCTAAACATGGAAATCTATCTTTTTTCCTTCTTGCCTCAATCCATCTTCCATATGCACAATTCCATCTGTCACCACCCCCTTTCCTTGTTCAAAGTACAACATTTTTTTTTTTTTT